TTTTTTTGCGAATAAAATGGATTACGCCGATGCTTTATCGAGCGTAAAAATAGCTTCAGGTAAATTAAAGTTTATGTGTAAATAAACAAAAAAGTGTATATAATAAATATTAATAATTGATTATTGTACAGGTTTAGGATTGGAGGCTATAAAAGACAAGCCATGGCATATTAGTTCATCAAACGCATTAACCGGGCGAAGGTCTCCAAATGGAGTTGAATGGTTAACTCAACAAATTAGTGATTGTTGCCCAAACAATAAACAATAATACTTGTATAAACTGTAGAAACCAGCTCAATTACATTTTATTCTAAAATACATAACATAGATAATGATGCGCTTCATTTATGTATATATAACTTAAGAATAATAAGGATAATGATTATATAATATATTTGTATTCTGTAATAAAATCTATTAATTAAATAATCGTCAATATAATAACCAGGCTAATGATATACATCATTTATATATATATATATATATATATATATATATATATATATGTACAACTCCTGCAGGCGTAAATTAGTGCTTCCATCTAGAGAAGGATTTAATGGAAGAAAAATGGGTAGGATAGTGATTTATTTTGCTAACGATTATTTAAACTTGATCGCTCATTTTAATTTTGCTCACGCATTGATTTACAATTGACAGAAACGTTTTCTAGAAATGAATTCGAAGCATTACAGTGTCAGGAGTTTACATGATACATATCAAGTAATGCGTCATCTGCACGTTTCCAAAATAACTTGATGTCGTAACGTAAATGCGTACGGCAACGGACATCGTCAGACCCAAATGAAAATAGTTTCATCTCATCGTTTGGTCAAATAGTCATCATAGGTGATTGTTTCAGTCGTTGCCGTTCGAATGGTTTAACTGAATCGGGTGGTTGAATCATTGAACGTTCCGATGGCAGTCTTCCGATTCCGAAGTGTTCGGTGTCGTTGTCGTTGTCGTTGTCAGTCCTAGCGCCTGTGCCAACCGAACGCAGGAGAGCGCAGTGTTGTGTCTATCGCAATGTATATAGTACGATCCGCGCGTTCATCCGACAAGAAGTACAGAAATCAATAAAACTTACATAACGTAGCCAATGTTATAGTACGCGCCCAGAACACGGCAGATATTCAATGGACGTGCTCGCACCAATACGGCGATAATATAACTTCCTATTAAGCAATTGTTAATTCTAATACCCGATACGGTTTCAATTATTGACAGATTCTAATAAGAACTGTATAAGATTGATAACATATATAAATGTGTAATTCGTATTTGTGATTGTTATTATTTATTGAAATTATTAATTTTTGATTCAGGTGACATAAAATTAAGTGCGTTTTATCGTATTGAGTGTATCGTTATTGTATATTGTAATATGTATTGTCGAATGTGGTGAATCCAATCCAATCCAATCCAATCCATCCAATCGAATATTATTCAATCGTTCGAATCATTTTATTGTTCAGTCTATATCTTTTCGAAGTGAATGATTTTGAATTGCTGTTGTTCGTGTTTGATAGTTTATAAATCGACGAAGAAATAATGCAACAGGAACGTTACATACCGGGCGATATAACGTTGAAATCGATGGTGGTTCGAAGGTGCAGGTTCCGTGCACGAATTGGCGCCGCTGAACACGCGTGCACGAGGCGACGGTTCGCATGGGGTGACGATCGTCCTTAGTCCCGTGCGAGGCGGTTCCGTCGGCGAAGTTCAAGATCTGCCCGGCGGCGATCCCGACCGAGCGGCATGGAGTGGAAAATTGCAATTTTTTCTATCCATTATCGGTTACTCGGTCGGCTTGGGCAACATTTGGAGATTTCCCTATTTGTGTCAACAAAACGGAGGTGGTGAGTACGACACGACACGACCACATATGTTATCCATCGGCTGGCGGAAAAGCGCGTGCGCTACACGTCCTTCCTTTGTATTGGTACAATTCCTCAAGTCGGTACATCTGTTTATATATGTACATATGTATGCACAGTACTAAAAATATTCATGTATATAGAGGAAATTTTTGAATCAGAACTAGATACGTCATAAGAATCATTCTTCAATTATTTCCTCGATCAGTTATTTCTAGTTGTTAGTTACTCCAATTTTAGACAATCGTTTATCTTACTGTTTGTTAGTTATATCTCTATATATAATACCAACAACTTTAAACTGTTTACTAATGACTATAAATATTAGATATTATTGAATCATAGTAAGTGTTGATACATCAATACTATCTTATATTCACATTATGTTTCTATATGAAATTATTCGCAGCCAGTTTTTTTTTGCTCCGAATATGTAGTAAGACGATAATGAAATGATTTCATTCATGTTATAACAATAAATAATAAAAAAAACATCAACTAACATGTCTGCCATTTTTCGTCTAGTATTGTTTTGCGATTATTTATCTTTTGAAACAATGCTGCCTCTCTTTCAAAAAGAATTTTAAATTTCCATATCCAGGTGTTAAAAATTTAATTATCGTTTGTAATGATTGTTCATTGTTGTTTTGCACATGCACATCTCAACAGTCGATATCCAAGAAATGTGCCCCGTGTGAAATTTAATGGGTCTGATTGATGATGTAAACAAATTCATATTTTCATAATTCGGCCTATTCAATTCAGGTTTGCCCTTGAGATTGCGACGATATTGAAAAGCAACTGGTTTTAAAATAGTGGGGAAGTACTCTTAAAAGGATTTTGATATTTATAAAATAATATTGTGCACATACGTGTATTGTATCCATGCATATATGTACTATGAAATTTATTTATTCGCATATTTTATTGCTATAGTAATGATAGCCTAAATTTGTTTCAAAAATTTTAAACGTTTATTTCGAAGTGTCTATTTTCTACATAAATGAAAAAATCATATCAAATGAAAAAATATATGTATGATGTGTATAATGAAAAAAAAGCAACAACATTTTGATTTTGCATTATGAAAATCGTGTTTGTTACAATTGAATTGAGCTGAATGAAGAATTGTTTTGGCGTCTTATTTCCTGCAAGTGATCTGTATAATAAACGAAATTGTAACAATTGAATACAAAAGCTACAAACTTTGTTTCTCATCTTAATGAAACACAATCAAATGTGTTAATTTTATAAACATATTTTTTTGCGAAAAACTGGCGTTATGAATTTAATTGTGCAATATTTTAATTTTGTTATTTACCATAACTGAAATCTTTGTACATAACAATTTCTTTCAAAAGGATTACGTAACCCAATGCTTGTACTTTTGTCATTTTATTGATTTGAATTCTCAAAAGACGTCAGCAGTATCATTTCATATTCCTTTTTTTCTTTTAATATGCAGTTTTATGCCTGATTGAATCCTTGACTATCAATATATATATATATATCTTAAAGTATTATAATTTAAATCCCGAAACCGAAAGGATACATGATTCTAATCCGATTCTAGGTTGTTTCTTATGTTGTTTCAGACAAACAAGATAGTTTTTATAAACATGAGTTTATACCGTGTCTCCAGACAGAAATCGATAAGTTTCATCATTTTTCTTCCTAACGCAACTTTTGACAACGAAGAAGATATAATGCGGTCATTGAATGAGAGAATATATCAAATATTAATAAATAAACCATATATAAATAATTTTTTGGGATAATGAGAGTTCTCATTTTATTGATGAGAGTTTAATGATTAGTTCTCGAATGTTACATGCCCAAAGTATGTAAATCTATTTTTCTCGAAACCTTAAGTTCACTATTTCATCGGTATATTTAATCATAAGCAATTTTTTTTATTTCACATTTTTTAATTTGGCTTCAAAAGTTATAAACAGAGCACAATGTAAAGCATCTAGTTTTAAATAGTTGTGAGTAGTATTTTCAAAATGCTTGGAAATTTACTAGTTAGAAATTAAATATAAGTTGATTTCACAGTTGACATAGATTTTTCGAAACATTTTCATAATTGACCAGAATATAAAAATTATATATTTTTTTTATTAAATTTATATGTAACAATCAGAATAAAGTAAGTAAAAAAAATATAAATGAAATAACAAAAAATTTAAAAACAAAAACTAAACTTTTTTATCATACATTGCTGTAGATGCCCTTGAAGAATATCTGAAGTGATAAAAAATATATATATATATATATATATATATATATATATATTATTATTATTGATGGAAATATAACTAGCTGTAAGTGGAATTCTGTCTTAAGGCAATTAGGGCATCGTGCCTTAAGGCAAATTGCTGGAACTTCCCGTACCAAAAATTATTATTTTTTAAAAACGATTAACATTTTTGAAAAAATTTACTTCGAAAAAATAAAATTTTTGAGAAACTATAAATTGGACAAAATTACTTTTCTTTGAAAAAAAATTTTTTTTTAAATTTAAAAAAAAAAAAAAATTTTTTTTAAATTTTTTTTTTTGACAAAAAAATTTTTCTTTATTTTGACATATTCTGGAAGATCTGAACTTGTTTTTCAAAGCAATCGTGCTGCTTAACTGTATAGAGACAAAATAAAAGCGCGTAAGCGCGGCGTCGCTGTCTAACGGGTAAACATTGATACGGAACCCATAGGAAAATAAAACAAAATTTATACTTATTGTTAAAATCTCTATAAAATATCTGAAAATTTGATGTGCATATGTCTAATGATCATTTTTGACCGCCAAATGGCATTTTTTTCTACTTTTTTCGTTAGATCTTTGAAACCGCTAGACCTGCTTTATGAAAATTTGATCAATTCTTTACCTTATTACAATACCTTACCAATTATTAAAATCGACGCTCCGTTCTCTTAAAAACTGAGTTATCGTTTTCGGCACTTTTTGCTCCGTATCTCCGGAACGGCTAGACCTGCCTTTGCCAAAAACTAATCAGCGTCTCCTTATCAATACGAATCGAATGTTTTTTGAATTATTCAAATCGGTTGATCCGTGTTCCCGAAATCGTCGACGAAATTTGTATCCGCACATACATACACACACGCACACACACACACCACACACACACACACATACACACACACCCACACACACACACACACCCACACATACATCCATTTTTTCTAAGGTATGCCAAAATGTTCAGAAACCTCTGAAACGTAAGATATATAAAAATTTTCATTTTCGATTTTTTTGCGATTACTATAACTTACCCTACGGGCAGTGCTGGATTACCCCATAGGCCCGTGAGGCCTGGGCCTAGGCGGCACAATTTAGGGGGCGGCAAATTTTTCAGAATGTCAAAATTTTAAACTCGATAAAATGTCACGACAATTTATTTTAAGGATAGATCCTGAAATTTTTTTGTAAATTTAGAGATCATTCATCATCATATATGAAACAGAACGTAATGCGTTTTCTAATCAAATTTATTATTTGTTGGTGCCGCATTGATATTTTTCTTGATGTATCAAATTTAATACAATATTTATCAAACTGATAAGCTTTTTTAGAGAATTATTGAAAATCTGTTAGTTTTTTGTAATTTTGTTAAGGTGAATCTTATATATAAAACGCTTTAAAAATTGTTCGATGGTTTCTTATATCATTTTCGGTATTAAATCAAACCATGATGAATTAACATAATATATTAATTGTTGTTCATTAATTTATTATGTTAAAATTTTATTTTTTGTTTTGTGCAAATATATTTTCTTTAAGAGCCTGTAGGATAAACAGAATCCTAAACTAAAATATCTAACAATTTGAAAAAATGGATGTATGCATGTGTTTGTGCGGTTACAATTTTTTGTCAATTGACATTCGATTTATAATATCGGAAAGATGTGCTGATTTGTTTTCTGTAAAGACAGTTCCATCCATTTCGGAATTCATTTGATGGTACAAAATGATCATCGGGCATACGCACATCAAACTATCAGATTTTTTATAAAAAATTTATGAATTATTACAAATTTTGTCTTCATTATTTTAATCATTCCGTACCAAGATTTTTAACTTTTAAAGTTCACTAGATAGTTTAAGTGTCCTTTGCAAGGATCAATCGACATGAATGATTCAAAAAATTTCGCTTAGCTTTAACCGCGAAGCGTACTGTTTATGCCAAAGGCAGGTTTAGCTTTTTGGGAGATACAGAGCGCAGAAAGTGCAAAAGTGGTGCAGGTTTTGAGAGTACAGATCATCCAATTGGAATGACTCAAAAAATATTTTGTTCGTGGTATTTTAATGGTATGAAGAAATAATTAGTTTTCCGAAAAGGCAAGTACACTGGTTTCAAATTTGAGAAAATTGAAATATCTAAAATTTTAAATAATCGAATTATTTTAAAATAAAAAAAAACGAAATTTTTGAATGTCTCGGTTTTATTATCGAGTTTAGTCCAATGACTTTTTATTTTGTGAAATCTGTTCAGGCGTTTTTGAAAATTAAATTTTGATTTATCACATCACAAAAGCGACTTTTAACACAAATTTTGACTATAAAATTTTATCAAACTTTGATGAAGTTTTAAAATTGGCAAATCTTTCAGAATTTTTTTTTCAATTTTAAAGATCGGTTTCTGGCTTTATTGCAAAAACGTAATATTTTTGCTTTTTTATTCTTATTTCAAACAACCGGCTTGGCCGATCGTCTCGCAACACTAATCGGTCCGGCCAGTTTTTACCAAAAACTAATGAATACGATTTCGAACCAAGATCATTAGAATGGTTTTTGAATTTTAAAATCGGCTTAAGATTGTGGGCTAAAACGTTGACGAATTTTTTCTTTCTTTCTGCTAATTACTGCCTTCCTAAAATTAAGGTAATTATTCATTCCGTTAATATAAGTAAAATTTTTTTGAATTATTTTGAAACCAGTCTCTCGGTTCTTTCAAAAACTGAATTGCAATTTTTGCACTTTTGCATTTTCCAAACGGCTAGACCTGTACTTGCCAAAAACTAATTAGAACTTTCTATCTGGGGGAATAAAACATGCATATTAATAATTTTTTTAAGGTATGCCAAAATGTTCAGAAATGTCTGAAACGTAAAAATATGCAAAAAAACGATTTTTGCGATTACTATAACTTACGAATACTTTGCGCAAAGTTAAAAATTGCATTTAAGTAATTTAGAATAAAATTATGGTTTAATTAAAAAAGTAAAAATTGTCTATAAAAAGGGCGCCTGATCAGATAGGGCCTAGGGCGGCAGAAAGCTTAATCCGCCACTGCCTACGGGAAGTTAATTATTATTATATTAGAGCTATAAATAATATATATTTATTTATTATAGTATTACATCACATACTAGTCAATTCTATCGGTAGCACTGTATGATTTAAAACATTTCAAATATTTTTAATTTATTTTTAATATTTTACACATAAGATTTGTTCAAATAGGAAATACCTGAACAACCGTCTTCAAGTTATAAATGCATAAACTTCTATTTAATTGGACTAGTAAATTTCTTCTAACTATAGTAAAAAATAATCAATTCCAAAGTGATTACTGTTTGAAGTCAAATTGTAAAAAATATTCTTTATCTCATCAGCATCGTTTTATTAAAATATAATAATGAATAAACAAATATAAAATATTTTTGGTATTTTTTAATACTACCCCAAGAATTAATTGTGTATAATCGATTTTTGTGAATAATTGATGGGATACATCTTAGCAGGGTTATTATAGGGTTTTTCATTCAAAAATATTATATCTACTAGTTTTATTGAGGTGCACTCATATGCAATTGACATTTACCGAGGTCATGTGATTTATATATAGACGAAAATCATAACTTTATTAATGATGCAAGGCAGTTCAGAGAACAGAAGTAAATTCGAGATGCTCTCATTGTTGTATTATTTATTAAAATTATTTGATTTAGATAGAAGTTGACAACAAAAAATTCAACTTTCAACATCCAACTGGAAATTCATATTGAAATAAATAATAGTAAATATCAGAACAGACTGCATAGGCCATCTTAAGTAAAATTACTTAAAATAACTAATTGGTATGATAAATGTAACCAATTCAAGTAAAATTTACTCACAACTTTCCACATCCTAATGAAAATTAAAACGATTCGTTGGTAGATATATAAATAAAATACTAATATAAACACATACGTGTATTATATATACTTATAATATATATTATATATATATATATATTATATATATATGTGTGTGTGTGCACTAAAGCAATTTTTACAGAGGATTATTTTCGCAAACCGGAACAATCAACAAATACAGAAAGGGTTCGTTGACAACCCTTTCATATAAGTTTAAGGTTTCCATAAAAATTGTTTTCAAACCGGTCTCCAGAAATATTTGAAGTTGAAATGCAAATTCAGTAAATTTTTCATCATATTAGTTCAGTGCTAGATGATGAATATAATAATAGCAATATCTGTTTCTTTAATAAAAATTATTTATCAAAATTAATTTATTTTGTATTACCATTATTTATCAACGATATAATATGGATTATCTTCTAATAAATAATCTAATCGTTAAAATGGAAAACATTTTTAAATAATGCGAAATAATTGTGTAGATAAAAGCTTAAATGCATATCAATTTTGGATACATATGGCGTTACGTTTTGTTAAAATTTATATCTTTATGAATAATGAATATTTTCGGGCATTCGTAATTCATCCTTAAATGTGTTGAAACATGTATTGAAAAGTACTATAAATAAAATATATATATATTGCAGAGTAGTCTGAACAATCATTAGTAAGCGGACTTCTTATAAATACTATTTTCTTATTTTTCTTTATCGTAATTGTAATAGTTGCTATACTACCACAATTAACTGAAAACCAACTAAATCGTTTATACAAAGAAGGCAAAATGTTGTGAATTTGCTGGGCAACGCCAACATCATATGATGATGTAGATCTCTGGTCTAAAATCTTAATAAACTCACTTATAATTGTCCAGCTTGACGAGGTCAAATATTTGCCTACTGCAATATTTACTCGGTTGAAGTTTAAGGTCGTCTTATTATTGTAGGTTTCATTAATTTGCAGATAAAGTTGTCGAGTTCTACTAACATTTTCTTACAAGTATGCCGGAATATATATTTATTTATGTTATATAAAATTTATAGATCGAACTGTCTCTGAACCTATTTTATGGAGAACTATATTTTTTATAAACTGAATTTTAAATACTGTATATATGTTGTATATAATTTAAAAATCATAAGAATGTGCAATAATTTTAGCTATCTCACATAAAAAACATAATTTATATTTTATTTTATGATTATTCATAAAGTAATAAGTACATGTAATTTATTAGCAATGCAGAACATTAGGACTATAAACGCTTATTAGGTTCTTCTTGCAGGTTTTCGTTGTTTATGTACTTAAAAGTGTTTAAGTACCTTGTTCTAAGAACAAAAAAAATCTCCAACATGAAATTTAACCATGACACCCATTTTAGTGTGCTCAAGACTTTCCCTTAGTATTCGTAGAACTTTTCAACATCGAACAAGTAAATTCGTGTATATATCCTATGTGTATATTCTCTATTTATGAGAATTTACTCTCTTGCTGGTTAATTCAGCAGTACTGGTTGTTCCCTTATTACTTTTACAAACATATATAAAACAACCCTACAGTATTCCGACGTAGAAATGAGTCTAACAAATTGTCTTGAAACGACAATGAATTTCTTTACCATTCCATACTCTAGAGATGGTAGTTTTATTGTTAAATTAAATTGCTAATAATGTGAATTTGGAAATAGTAAATAATCTGAAATCAAATACTTGATGTGATTTGCCAGACGTTTCGTAATGGTGAATTTCAAATTTATAATATTTCGAGTAAAATATTTTCATACAGAATTCGAGTAAATTCCTATCCCTGATATATATATATATATATATATATATATATATACACATATATATATATATATAAATTAATACAAGCGAATTATAATAATCAAATAATTTAACGTTAGCTATATAATCTTGGGTGGAGCTGAAGCGTGAATTATTAATTTAAACTCTTTTTCAACATGCGACTACTAATTAAAATTCTGCAATATTAAAATAATTCTAATTAGTGAAATAATAAATGCTTATATAATAAATACAGACGTTAATTAAATCTTGTATTTGAAGAAACAATTTTGATAGAAATAATAATAGTAGAATAAAAATGTAATTGGTTTTTATTATTTCATGGGTCAATTACGCTATTTGACCTTAGGGCAGTAGGGCAGATTTGAATTGGTGACGTAATTTATTTTAGATTTCTCATTACTAATATGATATATGAATCATCTTCGTGTTTATTAGTTGCAATAAAATTTGATGGTTCCTTAAAGTATTTTTAGTTTTATGATTAGAATAAAAGCTGTTCAATGATGCTTCAATAAAGCTTTGTATTTTCATATATTTTCTTAGTTTCATTTAAATAATTATTTTGTCTAATGATGTTAAAACTCGAGTTTCTGCAAAATATTGTCTTTTTTAACATCTTTTCTACATTTTCTGTATATTTTCACTGTTTATGGATGACTAAAGCAAGAAGTTAATATCGTTCTTGGGCTTTTATAATACTTGCTTCTAGTTTGAAATAATTTGTCAAAATAAAAATAATCAATCATCAACATTGTAACATATCCTGGTCGATATCTATCCATTCAAACAACATTCGGCATTTCGCCTCGAGCATGTCCATCTCTAGGAAAATTTATTTTTTTGCTTATTGGCAAACTTCCAGATTCAAAAATAGACTCAAAGACATAAATTCATGAATATGATTTAGGTATTTTAAAAATATCAGAATGTTTTATTTGTGCATATGACACTTTCACTTAACATAGGCTAAAAAAATCATATTTATGTTAAATTGAAAATCATTATTTTTTTTTCAGGTGCGTTTCTCATACCCTTTATGATAATGTTAATATTAGAGGGCATTCCTCTATTTTTAATAGAACTGGGCATAGGCCAGAAAATGAGGCTGGGGTCTCTCGGAGTCTGGAATACAATACACCCCTGGTAAGTTGAAGGAATAAAATGTCTAGCAACATGCATATAGAATATCTTGTTATATTGCATAAAATACAAGAATTTGTAAATAATTTTATAGAAGCTTGAATAATTTAACAACATACGAAATTTAATTTCGCTGATTTTCGGGTCCGAATCTATCTTATGAACTAGATTAATAAGTAACTAAAATAACTATTGAGGATTTCTGCTCAAATTGTAGTATTTCTGAATATTAGACAGCCCGTTCACTACTAATAATAAGGTTAAACAAAAATTGTCTTGACTTGACGCATGATTTTATTGCAAACACATTTCTTAGTGCTAATTATAAAAAATATCAAGTTTAATTAAAATAACATGTAAATTATATAAAAAAATATTGTATATATGATGCAGTGAAAATAATTGCCTAATATTTACCAAATAGCAAATTAACCTTGAGTGCTTATAAGTAGATTTATTATTGTTTTAATGATTAATTCATATTTAGCATTGAATAATATTATGGTTATTTTATCGTTATAATTACCATTACGATTTTTTGTAATCTAGGTTGGGTGGAATCGGCATTGCCAGCTGTATTGTTACATTGTTCGTTGCATTGTACTACAACGTTATCATAACATGGTGCTTTTACTATTTGTTTAATAGTTTTCAGGTGAGTTTAAATTCTTAATAGACTTATTTTAAACAGAATACTTTTCCATTAGTCTAATACTTCTATTTTAAGACGATAATTAAGACCCCGATAATCGTTTACGTGTTTGCTTACAAATTTACGCCTCTGCGGCCTTATGTGCAATCATTCTTTCAACCTTTGTAATAAAAATACGCAGAAAAACTATATTTGGATAATTATTACATATACCGATAAAAGGCAAATTAAACGTTAATCACAAATTTTAGTGACAATGTTGTGGCGTTTCTGTCAAAAAAAAATTATTATTTTATTATAGAATAGAATAATTTTAATTAATTCAGTAACCCTTTGTGACAGTTATATAAATGTTAATACATTTTATACTGTAGGTAATGCTAATTAGTACGTATCTTATTTTGTAAAATTTAATGATGAAATAGGAAAAAACAAACTACTAAAGTATTAATTGATCATCTTTTAAACCAAATTTAGGTCTAAATGTGTGCGTGTGTGTGCATAGTCTCTAATATAATAATAATCAAGATAATAAAAATCAAGCAAAGTGCTAATATACCATCTAATATTATTGCGAGAGTGGTCTTTGTCAGAGTCAATTCATATCACAGCAGCAATAAAACCACCAGAAAATCAATAAGTTGTACCAACTTATAATTTTTATACGTCAATCACTTAATTACACTTTTATTCATAAAGTGTTATAAATAAACAATTTAATATACAGATTTTTAGCTTTTATATCATTCATATTTATCAGAAATATTGAAAATATTGAAGCAACAAATTTAAGACCTTTGACAATCCCATTAGTTCAGAAATTTAGACAATTAATTTACTGCTGATAGTGATAAATGTAATAAAGTGATTTATTTTTAACGGTAATATTAATAGTGTATCGACGTCTACGATTTCTGCAGCCAATTGGAAATAGTTCAAAGCCTTTTCTATAAGTTTATTATAGTATGTAGACTACACACAACGAAATTTTACGTAGGGAGCACGGATATATATTTTCATTTGTGAGATTATTTCTCCGGCTCGATAAATTTTAAATTTGCTATCATTTTTCAAATGTGTTCTGTATGATGAATATGTATTTGTTTCCGTTGCCAGTCTCCATTGCCGTGGTCGTCGTGTCCGCAAATAAACGGCACGGACGTCGCGGAGTGCGCGCGATCTTCGGAAACTGCGTACTTCTGGTACCGGACGACGCTGGACGCCGCGCCCTCCATGGACGACAGCGGCGGCATCAAGTGGTGGATCGTTCTATGCTTGCTGCTTTCATGGACGGTGGTCTTCTTCATCGTCATGAAGGGTATACAGAGCTCTGGAAAGGTAAGCGGAATCATTTTTGAAAATCTATTGATGATTTATTTAAATATTTATTTTTGTTTTTTTTTCAGGTGGTGTATTTTACTTCATTGTTTCCATATGTAGTGTTAACAATTTTCTTCATACGCGCAGTTACTCTAAAAGGAGCTAGTGCTGGTCTTATACACATGTATACACCTAAGGTAAGGTGTTAATGTGTTACTTAATGTGTATTTATTATAGTTTTATTTTGATTTATTAGTATTGCAATTTATTTAATTTTAAAATGATTAATCATTGGCATGTTGTTATCCCATCTTGTTCAATTTAATGCCATTTTCAACAGTTATTGTTTAAGTTAGTGAAGCAGATTTTAATGCATTCTTGATGAACTCTAATCTCTAATTATACTTGTAATATTTGTATTCTTATGTTATTCAGATATTCTTAGCTAATATAATATAAGTATAGTGGAAGATAAAAATTGGCCAGTATTAAAATGTTTATTACCATTTTGAAATTGATTGAATGATTGAATTTAAATTAACATGCAATTGAAAATGCATGTATTTTTATTATATACATAATTGAGGATGATGTTCGTTTAAGGTGGAAAAGTTGTTGGATCCCACCGTGTGGCTGGATGCTGCCACGCAAGTGTTCTATTCGTTCGGCCTTGCTTTCGGTTCGCTGATCGCCTTCGGCAGCTACAACACGCCGAAGAACAATTGCGTGCGGGACGTCATATTGGTTTCCGTCTGCAACGCTCTGACGGCGATCTACGCCAGCCTCGTCATTTTCGCCATCCTCGGTTTCAAAGCGATGACGAATGTCGACAGGTGTATCGATGTGTGAGTATTGATTCTATTGATAGGACATAAGATATAATACAATGCTGGCACGCACATTTAAATAGTAGGTCATCTTAATTTAGTGAAATATAGAATTTTAAATATGATGCAGTATTCTTTAATCAATTACTAGAACAAGAGGTATTACATCTAATATTATTACGGTCTAATTTTGAATAAAACACACAAAATTCAGCAAGCAACGCCATATCAATATAATTATAGACCGAACTTGAAATTATAATAATTAATTAAATGATCTGTCTCAATAGAATGATGAAGTGCTATTTGATTTCTGCCTTAGCCTTACTCTTATCTTTTTTACTGTCCTGCACCACATTTTAAAATCAACTAGCTGTAAGTGGAATTCTGTCTTAAGGCAATTAAGGCATCGTGCCTTAAGGCAAATTGCTGGAACTTCCCGTACCAAAAATTACTATTTTTTTAAAAACGATTGACATTTTTAAAACAAATTTACTTCAAAAAAATAAGATTTTGAGAAACTATAAATTAAACAAAAAATTACTTAAATCAAAATTAATTAAATCTAATTCTTTTTTTTTTTTTAATTTTTTTTTGGAAAAAATAATATTCTCTTTATTTTGGCATATTTTGGAAGATCTTTTTTCAAAGCAATCGTACTGCTTTAACTGCATAAAGACAAAATGTCAAAGCGCGTAAGCGCCGCGTCGCCGTCTAACGAATAAATATTGGTACGGAACCCATAGGAATGCAAACAAAATTTATACTTATTGTTAAAATCTCTATAAAATATCTGATAATTTGATGTGCATATGTCTAATGATCATTTTTGACCGCCAAATGACTCATTTTTTTACTTTTTCCTCCATATCTCCGAAACCGCTAGACCTACCTTTATGAAAATTTTATCGATTCTTCATCTTGTCAATACAAGTGAAATGTTTTTTGAATTATTCAAATCGAACGCTCCGTTCTCTTAAAAACTGAGTTACCGTTTTCGGCACTTTTTGCCCCGTATCTTCGGAACGGCTAGACCTGCCTTCGCCAAAAACTAATCAGCACGTCTCCTTATCAATACGGATCGAATGTTTTTTGAATTATTCAAATCGGTTGATCCGTGTTCGCGAAATCGTCGACGAAAATTTGTATCCGCACATACATACACACACGTACATACATACATACATACATACATACATACATACATACATACATACATACATACATACATACATACATACACACACACACACACACACACACACACACACATACATCCATTTTTTCTAAGGTATGCCAAAATATTCAGAAACCTCTGAAACGTAAAGATATATAAAAATTTTCATTTTTGATTTTTTTGCGATTACTATAACTTACCCTACGGGAAGTTAAAAACTTATTTTCTTTAAATAAACAAATTTACACATTTTATTAAATTTAAATTTTCTTAGCTGAGTAATATTCTTCTACAATCATATGTAATCAATCTTTTCATACCATAGGACAATCTATTTTTAAAGGCATATATTTCATAATATAACTCAAACTTGGCGAGATGTGTATGTATTGCGCAACGAGTGGAATAAAAAAATTAAACATGATTTCTCGGCGACTTCGAGAGTTTTTTCAGTCAAAATTGTGTTACATAACATATTCATAATAAAAAACAAAAAAATACAAGATGCAGGAGAAAAACGATAATCTATACTTTATCAATCTGAATGCGCATGGTCTTAGTCAAAATGAAAATAAATGATGCTTGTAATGAGAAAGTAAAATTTTGTTTATAATGATTTGTTGATTTTAGAAATAAGGGCATTCTTTTTGCCCATGATATCCTCCCGTCTCGAAATGTCAGTCAGGCCGAATATGAGGCGGGAATGGCAAACGCACTGGCGCGAGGCAATGAAACGAAGGCTTGGGACTTGGAAGAATGCAGTCTCGCCACTCAGCTGGACAATGTATGTAATTTTAAATTTCAGATAGAAAATCAGATAAACAAAATCGAATGTATTAAAGGAAACACTTACTGTTCAATAAATCTCTGTTCAGCTTGAAACCCTTAACCATCAATCCTAATTTGAATTAATCTCTTATTTTTCAGGCTGCAGAAGGCACGGGCCTGGCGTTCATAGTTTTCACTCAAGCAATTGTCGAATTACCCGGAGCGCCATTCTGGGCTGTGATTTTTTTCATGATGTTGTTATCTTTGGGATTGGGTTCACAAATTGGTATTTTAGAAGGAATGCTTTGTACAATTTTCGATATCGAAATTTTCAAGAGGATACGAAAACCTTATGTAACAGGTATATTTTTTTTTATTCGAAAATTTACATTAATCAATAGTCTAAGTAATTATTTCAAATCGATTGTTAATTTGTTTATTAGATTATTTATTATTATATTGTAGCAATTTAATGATTATTATTATTCAACAGGTGTGGTTTGCGTTTTCTGCTTTCTGGTCGGTTTAATATTTACGACCGGCGCAGGTGAATATTGGCTGAAAATGTTCGATTCTTTTGCGGGAACTATAGGACTTGTCGTGGTGGCTTTGTTGGAAATGATTTCTGTCATATATGTATACGGCCATGAGAAGTAAGCATAGATAAAATTAAAATATATTACAATATATTAATATCATAAACCAGCTACTACAGTAAAACAAAAGTATTCTTCGACTATAGCTTATTTAAAAGATATTACTTCTCAAAAATATCGATTTAAATAAATTTTGCAATAATTGATTTATATTTACATAGTGTGATAAAGTTTAAAATTTTATTGATGTCACTATCGTAATATTATTTCTAGGTTCACAAATGATATATATGAAATGACAGGGTATCGGCCTGGAATGTATTGGCAAATCACTTGGCGATATATTGGTCCGGTTATAATGACGGTCATCTTGGTATCGAGTATAGTCTTTATGATTATCGAAAATCCAAAGTATCAAGCATGGAGCGCGGAACTGGTAAATATCAATATAAATATATAAATAATTTTACGATATATTGAAACATTTCAGTTCAGCGGTAAATGATGTATTTTAATCAGAAGTATATATTCTGGTTTGAAGTTCTATAGCTTCCATAAACAAGTAACACCTGTCAAAACTCATGTCTTTCAAATATTTAGACGATCCACAGTTTGCCAAATATCCTGTGGCACTAGTATTTAAACTAATGTTCTCGATGGTTCACATAAAATCATATGATTGAAATCTAACAGAGATAAACTTGACGTGCTTTTAGTATTTATAGCGATAAATAAATAATCAATATACCATGTCTTTTGTAAGCAAAGCTTAAATCGTGCAATCACAATCCGATAATTTATTTTTAGTGCAAATTATTGTTGCGCTTTCTTGAGATATTTTATTAGTTAGTCGTTGATTATATCATGTATCGTACATATATTTTTATTACTATTGAATTACCATTAATTCAGTTCCTGAATATTAATTTTGGCCTAATTTTTCCCAGGGTGCGGTGGTTCCGACTTCGTATCCTGGCTGGGTGATGTCGATAGCTGTCTGCATGATATGCGCTGGTGTCCTGCCGATGCCGGTCGTCTTCTTCATGCGACGTTGTCAATGTCTCAAACTGGATGTCGACATCCATCAAGGATCGATCAGGAGGATCGAGACAACAGCCTCCACGAAGGAGATGATCGACGAAGATGATGTAAGTTTAAAGAGATTGATATTTGAAATTAAAATGTCTTAGTCCCGGGTTACTGATGTGCACTATATGGTCATTGATAGACCTTATAAGTTGTTTATTTAATTTTTGAAGCAGAGCACAGGCGTTTAAATGCCAAAATGTTATCAAATCCGAAATGTTATCATACGAATATATCTTACAATTCTGTTCTGTTAGCATAGCACATCTATGTTACTTTTTAAATAACTGTTTCTATTTCTATGGCTTTTTAATATTTTCTGACAATTTGTTTACTTGCTGTTAACATTTCATTTTAATCCCGCATGTTTTGTCCCTGCTAACCTGCCACCCGACTAACAATAAATCACAACTGTAAAACTAATATTTTTTATAGTTACTTACAATTAGTTTTCTAAGTAACTGCTTTTTGCAATATTCAAATTCTCCGCGAATTTATTGACATAACGGAAAGATATCGCCAAAGAAATAGATCATTTTTCGCATTTTTTATACAAACAAGGATGACCAATTAGAAATCCATAGCATAAAATATTTTTATACATGTTTTATATTCAAATATTTTCATGTAATGTGTTATTTTTCCAATGCTGCTCTGAAGGTTATAAGCCCAGATTTAACACCTCAGGATATGAACATTACACGGTTCACTATAGGCGATTTTGATGTAAGTTAATTGGAAAAAGTTAATAACGAAGTTAAAAGATAAACCCCATTTGAAAAACACAAAATATTGAGTTATTATTATACAATTTTTGACCTAGATAATAAATATCGCGTTGTATTAAGTAGATATTGAACAAAACATAAATTGGAATAATAATACTAATAATAAATGTAGAAACTAACATATTTAAACAAAAGTTTATTTCAATTTTTTGGAATTTTTTTTCATACTATTTAATGTTAAGGGTTGTTCTATCAAAATAGATTCTGTGTGAATTGATTAATTGAACTTATATGTTTAATAATTCGTAATTTGCACATTGTCATAAATTACATTAACTACAGCGAATAATTAGAAAGCATTGATAGTTCAATCGAATAATCTTTTCCAAACCGTGTAATTCTTGCTTGTATTCTAAATTTAAATATAATATTTATTGATTTTTCATAAACTTTACTGAATACGACTTTTCAGTTTTCCTAAATTTAATTTGTTTTGTGGGGTTTATCTTGTGTAAAATAAATTATCCTGAGAATTGACGTAATACTACACATGTTGAAGTTGTAGGCCCAAGGAGTTACTTCGTCGGGGAGGAGAAATCACTAATACTAACATCATATCAACGGTAAATAACATTTTTTGATTGCGGTCGATTGATAATGGTACTTCTTTAGTTTTTTTCTCATTTATTCAAATTATTTTTTTACGAATAGCGAAACCTTGTATGTGTAATTGGAATGCTTTCACATGCGATTTTATTAATTTTGATTCATTTCAATTTTAGTGCAACTCGCAACGCCTATAATTTTTTGCATGTCGAATAATAGTTGTATGTGTTGTATTTATTTAATTCTATAATTCTATCAAATAATGAGATTTTAAAAGCATGCTCTCTGTGAACTCTAGTTTCTTACTGGTACGAATTAAAATTGGTGGATTCAATTCGCATATTTGTAAATTAAATCAAAATCAATGAATGAACTATATTACACCAAATTTTTTTTAACAATGAAAAATGTTTAATTCATTTTATTAATGCAGTGACTACACTTCTTGAGCTATGAATGCATGAAAATTACTGAATACGCAATTTTTCTGTCGTTACTATCATGAGAATTTTAATTATATTTATATTTTTTATTTTCACTTTTAATTCACTACATTACTATAAAATAAGACTATTAATTCAAGCTCATATGTATAGTACCTAATTATTTTTTTTATAAATCTTAATGCATGCGTACAGTAATTTTTTTTATATATGAATGTATTTATATTTATAGTATAATGAGAATTCTTATTGAAGACAGTATAATACTAACATCATAACTTTGCAATACATATTCCTTTTTCTTAAAACAATTTCATACATATAAACTCAGGATCAGTTTATCGTCCGGCAAAATATATCAGATTCAATAATAATATATAAATATGCAGGTAACCCCCGTATAACACAGTACTTCACTTCGAATTTGAGCAAAAATCTAAAAAGATAATATATTTAGTAAAATTAATGAAAGCAAACTTTATCTATTTAAAATTAGTGAATTCTACAAACAAAAAGTTCAATAAACTTCAAAGTACAAAGGTACAAAGGTATTTGACTTTTTCATTCGATAAAATATCATTTTAATTAACTTATTATATATAATATGATTAATATATAAAATTTTATTAGTAATATAATATCTGGCATGTTTTATTTAATTTTTTGAACGTAACCTTGTCGTACTAGTACGATTAGTCCTAGTACTACCTGGGCTACCTGTATATAAATCCGAATCTAAAACAGTTACGTCTGTACAATGAGTATCTATATAATTTCGTCGAATTCTGTCTATTTTATCGGTTCGCAGGAAGAGGACGATGACGAAGAATGACTTTTCTCGGCCGCAGCCCGACGGCCCCGTCGGCCAGGACAGCGACGACGACGAGCCG